TGAACAAGGCCATTAAGGCAAATGCCATCTTTAGCTATCTATTTAACTTGATGGTAGTTTGTACAAATAAGGTGTGAAAATTGTATGTGTGGAGTATGTTGCAATTCATCTTTTCCTTGCTATTTGCAAAAGGGCCAGAGATTTCACTGTCTCTTTTAAAAAGTAGACACCTGGTATGACCAAACTCTAGATTAAAAACACCCCTCCCCCCAATTCCTAATATTTAGAAGAGAGCATGAACTCAAAGAGATTATTGCTCTGGGAATGGGAAGAAACGTACCTATATAAACCACTCCTTCCCATATGAATTCACTCCTTTCTGGTATGATATTTCTGTAGAAGTGTATACATGTGATTGCAGAGCTCAGCAGACATAACCCAGTTCTTTCCACCATAACTCCATGCATCCCCTGGGCTCCAGGGAGGAGCTGGCCCCAGTAGGAAATGCAGGTAGGAGTTAGCTTATGCAGGGCTCACTGTGGGAGACAAGGTAACCTTCAATGCTTTATTCATCAGCTCCCCATCACCTACCAAAGAATACAATTCCTTAACCTGCTCCTCAAGGATTGCCACGACCACTCACTTCATGTTGGTTATGGATATACTGAGAAGACTTTGCTTACAAAACTTTGCCTTTCTCTGACCATGCTGAGATACTTTGAACTGAATATGTTTGAACTATTGAATGAACGAACTAGAATTATGTTTGGTTTCCAAATTCTGTAAAATTTGGAGTGATCTCTGCCCCAGGAGCCACATGGTTTAACAGGGAGATAAACCAAAGGGCTGAGGAAGGCTCCAGAAGGTTTGGTGCAGGAGCCCAAGTGCTCAGGTGCAAGGCCCTGGAGCTCATGTAAACTGTCCAGGTGCCAGTGGCTTTGCCACCTTGTGTATAGCAGTGGGCATAGGTTTAGTGACCAGGCTCTGAAGTCTGTGAACCTTCTCTGTATCTCACATGTCATGCTCACTGGCTGCTGCTATTATTATTATTATTATTATTATTATTATTGCTTAAAGTATTACTCACTGGCTGCTTTTGACCTTTGAAGTGATGGAAGCACCAGATAACCAAAATAAAGAAGACATGAGGACAGAATAACTAGTCAAAATCAAAGTGTATGAGCGAAAAGGAATGTTTTCTGGTTGCCACAAGTTAAATTTTTTCTTATAAATATATTGGCATAAAGAATAATTCCTGGGTACATTCCATTTGTCCTTTGTTTCCTCCCTTGTATGGTTATATTATTATTGATGTCATTAAAAGTGCATTCATCAGGCCTAGCTGTCAGAGAGTTGCACTTATTTGGTGCCCACAGGCAGTTTTGAGGTAAATTTCTTGCTTTAGGGCATTAGCTGATCAATACCGACATCTATAGTGAGGGATTGTTTTCCCACCTCCCTCTGCATGAAATCACTCTGGACGGAGTGGGGAGTCTAAGAGAAGGTGCCCTTACAGACCCTTCCTTCTGCATCCCTGCCTTTTCAGGAGGGGCAGCCTCCTAGGTCCAAGGAAAGGCCTTGGAAGGAACATGGCAGCTTCTGATCACCCCTATCCCTGCTGTTTTTTCAGCTTATTCACTCTTCCTTCCTGGTTTTCAGACTGAGAATCTCAAGTCTTATTTTGTCTTTGAAGTTTATGGGACCAACATTCCTTCACTTCAAGACCAAAACCTTCCTGTTATTGCCTTTATTTACTTATAAGCAGGAGTTTGTCTTATTCATTTCTGTAATTGGAGACTTAGCAGGGACAATACACTTGACAGGTGGTTAATATTGCTGAACTGAACTAATTCCTAAAATGTGAGTTTGTTTCTTTTGTTCAATAAAAGGCCTCCCCCCACTCACCTCACCTTCCCCGCCCACCAATTCAGCTCTTAGCAGGGACAATACACTTGACAGGTGGTTAATATTGCTGAACTGAACTAATTCCTAAAACGTGAGTTTTTTTCTTTTGTTTAATAAAAGGCATCCTTCTGCCCTCTCTGCCTTTCCTCCCCCCACTCACCTCACCTTCCCCTCCCACCAATTCAGCCGCATTTCTCTGCTGTCTAAATCACACAGGTATTCCACCAGCTTCATGTTCTTGGAGACATGTCTTCTAGAGCCTTCTTACCAACTCTAAGCTGAACTGGTTGTTCTCCTCACCCAGTATGTAGGGGAGACCCTGGGACCTCACCTCATCCTCCTGGAAAGCTCCTTCTCTCTGTGTCAGACCATCCGTTTCTTGGATCCCATGTGGCCTTTGGTTTGGTTTACTGTCTCCCTTTGGTCCTTCAGTACTTTCCTGATAAAGGGTATATGGGAGGTAAATTATTTTAGGCTTTGCTTGTTGAAAATACTTTTATTCTATCTAACAACTAAATTAATTGTTTGATCAAGATTTCTCCTCAGAATTTTGAAGGCATTATTTTCCTTTCTTTAATTAGCACATGCTACTGATGAGAAGTCTTATTCTTAATCCTTTGTATGTAACCTGTATTTTTCTCTCTGGAAGCTCTTATGATCCTCTCTTTGTTCTCAGGGTTCTGAGATTTCACCATCATGTGACTTGGGAGTCTCCTAGCAGTGACTGTGGTGACAGCAGTTACTGAGGCACAGGCTCCAGAGTCTCACTCTTTAGGTTCAAATCCAGTGCCACCACTCAACTAGCTTTCTGACCTCTGTGCCTCAGTTTCCTCATCTTGAAATGGAGATGATAATAGTACCTACCTCATAGGGTTTTCATGAGAATTAAAAAAATTAATATCTGTAAAAAGCTAAAAACAGTGTTATTTAAGCATTATCTTTTATTAATATTCAAATATGAAAAAATGATCTCTTAGAGTTCTGTGAAGTTTCTTGACCCTGTGCCTTGAGTATGAATGTTGGTTTGGAGAGGGGGGATGGTTGTACAGGGGAAGATGTGGCTGAGTCTCTGATGTGAGACGAATTTCAACAGGGTGAGGCTGACAAAGAAATAGGTAACTGCTATTGCTGGTAAGACACCCCTGGACTATGGATTCTCAGCTCAGGATTGGAAGAATAACAGGGAAAGGAAAGACAATCTTTGAAGAAATCTGGTCACTCCAATTTAGAATTCAGATATGCTCCCTGGAAAGGTATTTTTGTTTTTCAGTTTATAAGGAAGTATCATGACATAGATTCAGAATGACAGAAAAATGGGAGGATGCTTTGGAGATTCTCGGTGTCTTTATGAATGAGAAATATCTGGTGATGATGCTGTCATTGTTAGTCTTCATTAACGGTTAAGCTGGACCAACACAGGCATTTCCTAATTACTATATTAGGAAGTCAAACAATTATTTACCCTTCTAGCAATTGAAATTTTAACATATAAAGTATTCATGGACTTATACTCAAAATGCTCTATTGATAATAGGAACGACAATTCAGGGTAATTCAAGAGCCCCAGTTAATGAGGGAAAGTTCTACATTAAATAATAACTCCAAATAATTCATTTAGAATAAAAATTTTTGAAATCATCATTTTGTACCACTCTCATGCAATAATTGATTTGAAGACCATTAAGAGATGCTAAAACCACCAGTTGAAAGGGAGGGGGAAAGGAGTATTCACATGGTGCCAAAGTATTGTACATAGAATACTTACTATTTACAAAGAGGCTTCCATTACAATGGACAGATATGCTATCAACAGATGATCCTACTATTCAAACTCCACATCACTAATAGTGAGATAAGCCAGCACGTGGATCCCAATATAATAAACATATTTGCCAAAAAATCTTTATCCTGATTCTAATAACTAAGCTTTTAGGTCTGACTTCCATCTAAGAGAATAGGGGATAGAGGAACCAGGAACATGATACCATGAGGAAAACATCAAGCCAATCCAGAATGTGGAACATTTTACAACTAGCCTTATCTTTTCAAAAAGGGGCCAGGACAAGGAGACTGGTCTACATTATGATATTTAGGAGATATAACCATAAGTAATGCATGATCCTTGATTGGATTTTGGTTGAAAAAACTATGAAAGATATTTTTGGCATGATGGGCAAAATTTTAATAAGGAATGAGCATTAGACATACTATGCCATCAATGTTAATTCTGTCAGGTGTCCTAATAGCATTGTAGCTATGTAAGAAAATGTCCTTTGCAGGGGGAGAGGGGAGACTGCCAGCAGAAGCATTTAGGGGTGTGATTTCATGTCATGATGTAATTTACTCTGAAATAATTTAGTTAGATAAATTGATATGAAGCAGGTTATGGCAAAATGTTAACTGTTGTTGAATCAAGATGGTAGGTACATGGATATTCATTGTTTTATTCTACTTTTCTATTTGTTTGAAAAATTTCTATTAAGAAATTTAGGGAAATGGCCTGCAGATGCAAAGTTGTGTACATCTGACCTGACAGTGTTTTCGAAGGAACACGAGTGAGTGTGTCAAGGGCCACATTTGCTTTGGGCACCCTGGAAGGAGCATTTGCTCTGTGCGTTCACCACAGCAATGGCGTGAGATAGTCATTCGCTCCAGAATATAGGAGAGTTCTGGAAGAATTAATGTGCTTCCCAGAGTGCCCACGTTATCGTCAGGAATGATTTACTCACTGGAGGGGTCAGATTGAATGATTCACGTTATGACTGCAATGGAAACGCTCCTTGTTTGGTTGCTAGTGAGATTCTCTCCCCCCAAATCAAGTCACTTAAAATTACCTCCTTTACGTAAGTTTTTTTTTTTTAAGGATGTATTTTCTTTTCTTTTTTTTTTAAGCAAACATCATAAAGTAGTTGTCCTATCCATTCAGGCACCGATGTAGAGGGAGAGTTAAAAATTTTTTTTTAAGGATGTATTTTCTTTTCTTTTTTTTTTTAAGCAAACAACATAAAGTAGTTGTCCTATCCATTCAGGCATCGATGTAGAGTTAAAATGCTGAATTGCTTCCTGCAGTGCAAAATTGTTCTTAAATTGACCTTGTTGCTTAGGAAGTGAGTTCACAGCCCCAACCAGTTCCTTCGTTTCTGACGTGATTTCAGGGAACTGGACTGTGCCATGTTACGCCGCCTGGAGAAGAGGATTCTGGTTGACCTCCCCAGCCAGGAGGCCAGGAAAGCCATGATCCACCACTGGCTGCCCCCTGTGAGCAAGAGCAGAGCGCTGGAGCTGCACACAGAGCTGGAGTACGGCACGCTGAGCCAGGTAAGCCGCCCTGGAGAGGCATCGTAGGCCAAGCAGCCACCACGTGACCGCCTTCTCGGCAGGGTCTTCTCATGAGCTGCTCGGAGCCTCTTCCTTGAGTCACTTAGAAATGATCCAAGCTCCCCAACAATGCAACGGGCCTCTTCTTCATGAAAGAATGAGCTCTTTGTCACTCGGAAATATTCAAGCAGGGAGAAGCAATATGATATAGTAAAAATAGCACAGGGTTTAGACCTGGAGAACCTATGTCAAATCCTTGCCCTGTCAGCTGCTTACTATCTGTGTGACCTCAGGGGAGTCACTTATTCTCTGAGCCTCAGCCTTTCCATCTGTAACAGCGGTTCTCAACCTGTGGGTCGCGACCCCTTTTGGGGTCGAACGACCCTTTCACAGGGGTCGCCTAAGACCATCGGAAAACACATATATAATTACATATTGTTTTTTTGATTAATCACTATGCTTTAATTATGTTCAATTTGTAACAATGAAATTGGGGGTCACCACAACATGAGGAACTGTATTAAAGGGTCGCGGCATTAGGAAGGTTGAGAACCACTGATCTATAAGGTGGGTAACAGATATGCCACAAAGGATTACTGTGATGATTAAAAGAGACGTCTTTTACAAATCCAAAAGCTCTAGGTGCATATCTGTTGCCTTCATTGTCACTGCTATCATTGCCTTCTCTGAGTGGACACTTGAACTTGATGTTCACTGAGGTTCCTCTAAGGCAGCTTATGGTCTTATTTGCAAGAACAAAAATGTCCACTTAAATTTGATCATCCTTGGATTTGGCACAAGGGCCCCATTAGACTAACATGGGTGGTCTAGTCTTCACCATCTTATAGCATATATTTGGAGGGGAATTAGGAAGTTGTTGCCCAGCTTCTTAGGTTATCCAAACATGTTAGAGACCTCTCTTTCCCCAAGCATTGTCTATCTGGGAATCTTTGTACAGTGTCCATGTGGGGCAGATCCAGAATCTAAACAGGGGCTCTGACATACTGGGTCCTGACCAGAAGGATGTGATCACCACCAACATTCTGCCTGCTGACCAATGGCTGGTTTGGGGCTCTTTCAGGAGACTGAGGGCTACTCAGGCTCAGACATTAAGCTGGTCTGCAGGGAAGCAGCTATGCGGCCTGTGAGGAAGATCTTCAATGCACTTGAAGATCACCAGTCAGGTAAAGCTGGGACCACAGCCAAGGTGCTCTGGGAGGGAAATCTGTTTAAAAATCCAACTTTCACCAGCAGGTGGAGCCTTGTGCCCGTTCTTGGGGGCTCTTTACTCTTGCACACAATCTTGGTCTCTCTTTCCTGCACTCACTCAACTCCTTCCTCCTCTGGTGTTGTTTTGGATCCACTTTGCCCCAGATGATAAACTCCTTAGGGCTCGGGCTTTTATTTCTCTGGCACACGATGATGTTGGGCTGGATCCACTGCGGCACTATATAAATATTAAATAAAACTTTGATGATACATTTAAATCACATATTTTTGTCTGGACTTCAGGGGCTGAGTTGTACATTAAAGAATTTTCATCTGAGCCCTCTTTAGTGTTGACTTTTCTGCATTAACCATTAAGAATGTTGCATTATGCATTGTCTTGAAAGAAGGTCTATTAGCATTTCAAGAGCATTGATCACCATAAGGTCGATTGTTATGCTGTTACTGTTGTTTTTATCTAGAGAGTAGCGATTTACCTGGGATCCAGCTGGGCACAGTGACCACTGCTGACTTTTTGGATGTGTTAGCTCACACCAAGCCTTCAGCAAAGAATCTGACTCAGAGATACTCAGCCTGGCAAAGTGAGTTTGAATCTGTTTGAAATCACATTGACCCTGACCTGTCCACAAAGACAACCACAGAGGCCTTCTGCTTTATTAGTGTAAGTGGAAGAACATAATGATTGGAATAAGAAGAGAAAATCATTCTTGAAGACTGAATTAATTTGGACAACTGTATTGCTTTAGAAATGAGATATTTTCATTAATTTTTCATAATTGATGTCAGCAAAATATTAAAGATTTCAATTACAGTGAGATGTGCTATTAGGTCATACAATGGAGACTTTTCTTACAATTAAACTCTGTAAAATTTTGAAGAATAATCTGTTGCTGTGTTCCTCATTTGTGACTGGGATTTTCCTTTTGATGGAAAGAAAAATGTAGTTAGGAAAAGTGTGTTGGAATGCAGGGGGTGGTTCTGAGATGGGGAGCCAATTGGAAGCTAAGCTTGATATAGATCATCTGACCTACAGACAATTCAAGGGTGGAGAAGGACGGGAACAGGAAAGGAAATGCAGGGTCTATTTCTTTTGACAATATTCTGAATTTCATCAGCTCTCAGTACTTCTGACCTCAACCAGTTTTATCAGCAGCAAACCCCTAGCAGAATAGGCCTCACTTGGAAATGTCACTCCATCTCTAGAGACCGCTGCTTGGAGTCTAGAGCTAACATCAGTGGTGACTAGCACACCACCACCACTAGCTACCAGTTTGAACATTTTGAGTTCTGACCCCTAATAACATCTTTTGACTTTACTGTGTGTGCTGCCCGTCTCTCCCCATTACACAGCACCTCGTTGGATCCAAAGCTTCGGCTGGAGTATCTGAGCTTCTAGAACAGTCATCCCCAGTCTCCCTGCTCTTAGGCTCCTCCATCTCTCCATATGGGTCATGAACAGCTAGAAGCATCTCCCTCAGAAACCCCCATTTGAGAAGCATCCACTTTCAACTCCTGATAAATTCTGAAGGCTTCCACTAATAACATCATCCCCACCCCCAACTAGAACTTATCTACAGTAAGTCACCATCTTTTCCTTGCCTTGTTTCATCATCCCTGCAAGACAGGCTCTTCCTCCAAAGAAAAACTTCCAGTAAATGGGACATTTGGATAGGTAAATATTCCAAAGGACTTTGTTTACCCTTTTAAGCAAAAACAAAGCATGAGGGGGGACATTATTTTGAGTAGAATATTCTCAAATGTCTCTTAAAATGCACTAATGGGAAACTGTAGTCAAATTTAAAATATACCATACGTAACAAATTCGAAGTAAACAAAAAGAAATTTTACCATAGGATATGCTAAAAAATACTTCATTATCATTAGCTATTACCCTATGCCGCACTAGTGATATCTGAGGCATAGGTCTCTGAACTAAATGGCCGCAGGCTGCTAACTGTTCAATTTCCAACATCTGCTTCCTGTGCTTTTGGGTTATTTCCTTGGTCAGGCTGCCAGCTGACATTTCTTGTAGCTGGTAGTCCATTTGCTTGTGGCTACTTGTCCTTTCTGATTTCATAAAATCCCAATTAGCTGGATCCACTATTGTTAATTTGTTGTGGTTGGAAAGTAGATAAGTTTGCGTTGTATGTGTATCTAACAGTGAACACATAAAGGGCAGGACACTCTTGTGGACATCCTTTGTAACCATATTTGGGCCCTTTTAGCTTACGGCTGCCCGTTCCTGACTCCTCTCAGGATTACGTGTGGTTTTGCCATCCCTCACAGTAAAGACACCCAATCTTCTTCCACTTCCAGAACCCTACACACAGTCCACTGTGTACCGAACACATCTCCACATCCTTCCTCCATTCCTTTTAAGAATCTCCAAGTTCATCTTGTAATACTTCCAACTTCATTCAGTCACATATTTAATACTCCTCTCCTTTCTCCCTTGCAAAGATTGTCTCCAAATAATTATGCATGTGTTTTCAGGTCACGCTTTTATTTTGGTGAGTTCTTTTTTAAAAGACAGTTTATATATTAAAATGACTTCCTGCTTTGGGTGAAATGAAATGTAGCTCTTTCATCCCTCTGCCCTGTCCCTACCACACAAGTATGTCTTTTCTTATCATTCCAAATAGTCATGTTATGACGTTAGGTTAACTCAGTAATCGGTATTCACTGCAGAGCCAATTAGAGAATCAGGATTAATTTTCTTTTTTGGTGACTTTTGTCTTACCTGGAATTAATAACTGCCCTTTCCCCCCATTTGCTTAGTTTTCTAAGTATCTTTTTTTTTTTTTCAACACATCCTTCAGATCAGTCAGTTACCCATCAGTATTATTTTCCAAATGGCCAAATATCAGACAAATTTTCAATTCTATCCCCGGGCCCTCTGGTCCTGGGATGCAAGGGGAAGGGAACCGAGGACCCCTGTAGTATAAGTAAACATGTGCCTAATTCCCATTGTCAGCCCCTCATCATCTCACCCTGGCCCACTGCCACACGCACTGTCCCCAAGGCCTTAAACTTTCATGGTTTCACTTTTTCAGAAAATAAACCTCCATTCTCCTGCCTAGGCTGGGGGTACTCATCTGGCTCTCAGGGTGGGCAGGGTCTAGGGCTCCATTCTGTTTACCAGCTTTCAAACAATTCCTTGCTCTCAACCCTACCTCACACCTCACTTCCTCTCTACCTAGTACCTCCCAGCCTTGAGTCTTTGAGGTGGTTCTTCAGGATGAATTTTGGCTCTTTTCTTTGCGCTGATTTTAATTACCAACACTGCATTCACTTACTGTCTTCCAAATTCTCACATCCTCTCATCCACTGATGTCTCTTCTACTGTTCTCTTGCAGGTTGTCTTCCTGGATTTATGCATCCTTTCTTCCTTTCCTCTTTAGTAAGGCTTTGAAAGAGACCACCTAACATATATGATTAATCCACTATGTTTATAGAATCTATGATTATTTTTAAAGTAGATTAAAAGCACATCTGAGTTTATAGGGATATGGGAGATTGACCGATTAATTGAAGGAAGAAAATGTAACCTAAGCCAACATGTGGTGTTTTCTTCTAAAGCAGAGGTCACAACTCAAATTCCTTTAGAAGCCTAGAATGTAGTAACACATGAGTAAAGCGAGGGGGGTGTAAGACAAGGAAGAATTGGGGAATATGGGGAAGTGGAGAGGGCCAAAACTCTCTGAATGGCAATAGTGACTCAGCTCCAACTGAATACAGAAATTCAGACCTAACCTTGCCAGATCTTCCAATCTTCCGAGGAAAGCCAGTAATTGATCTGCACTTGAAATACCTGACAGATGTTGACCCTACTCATCTAAAATAACCCCCTCATGTTGGGAAAATTGGACAGACACATGCAAAAAAATGAAACTAGACCACCAACTTACACCATACACAAAAACAAACTCAAAATGGATAAAGGACTTAAACATATGACGGGAAACCACAAAAATCTTAGAAGAATCCATAGGCAGCAAAATGTCAGACATGTGTTTTAGCAATATCTTTACTGACACAGCTCCTACAGCAATGGAAACTAAGGAGAAAATAAACAAATGGGACTACATCACAATAAAAAGTGTCTGCACAGCAAAAAAAAAAAAAAACCATCGACAAAACAACAAGCAAGCCCACTGCATGGGAGAACATATTTGCTAATGTTATCTCCGATAAGGGTTTAATCTCCAACCTTTACAGGGAACTCATACAACTTAACAAAAGGAAGATAAACAATCCAATCAAAAAGTGGGCAAAGGACCTACAGAAAGCCTTTGAAAGAGGACATACAGAAGGTCAAGAGACATATGAAAACATGCTCAAAGTCACTAATCATCCAAGAGATGCAAATCAAAACAACAATGAGGTACCATCTCACACCTGTCCGAATGGTATCATCAACAAATGACAAGTGCTGGAGAGGATGTGGAGAAAAAGGAACCCTTTTGCACTGCTGGTGGGAATGCAGACTGGTGCAGCCACTGTGGAGAACAGTATGGAGTTTCCTCAAAAAATCAAAAATGGAACTCCCATTTGACCCAGTAATCCCACTTCTAGAAATATATCCTAAGAAAACAGAAACACCAATCAGAAAGGATATATGCATCCCTATGTTCATAGCAGCACAATTTACAATAGCTAAGATTTGGAAACAGCCTAAGTGCCCATCAGCAGATGAGTGAATTAAAAAACTGTGGTACATCTACACAATGGAATACTATGCTGCTGTAAAAAAGAAGGAACTCTTACCATTTGCAACAGCATGGATGGACCTGGAGAGCATTATGCTAAGTGAAATAAGCTAGTTAGAGAAAGATTAATATCACATGATCTCACTCATTTGTGGAATATAATGAACAACATAAACTGATGAAGAAAAATAGAGCCAGAGGAAAAAATATTTTAAAATAGAAGTAATCTTGTTATTTGCAGGTTTTTAATATTTCCTACAACTTGTGATATTATGTCAGTACAGTTTTGGTAATATTAAAATTTTTTTTTCTTGAAATATTAACGTTTATTGCATTAATATATTTAAAATAGTTTTTCTTGCAATATTAATGTTTATCGCATGTAAATGGCTAATTTTTTTGTATTTACAATGTGGTAACAGATTTATTTTGTATATTGTAAAATAATAACATTAATTATAAAATAACCCCCTCACTCTTACTGGCTTTAGTCATCTTCATCACTTTATCAGTATCTGTTGTATGTTTCATCTGCATACACTACTCAAATGTTAACATCATGGTTGTGATACTTTTTACGCTGCTATTGAATGAATGAAACATTTGGCACTGACCAAAGCACTTAGCTCACTGCACATGACCTCCTCTCTGACAGGACTTATACAACCCCGTGAACTTGCCAGTGTCCTTTGCACTATTAGTTCTATTTTTATATGCATCGATTTCCCAACTAGAAGATATGCCTTTAAGGAGTGGGAGCTACATTCTGCTCTCTCTTCCTTAGTGCTTTACACACAGTGGGCATTTAATCTTCTCAGGCACAACAGCTAGTGAAACAAATAGGTGTTGAGATGTGTATGACATGAGAGTAAGCACTGAAAAAAGTAAGGTATTCAAATTGTTTGATTT